TTCGATGCTTAGGTAATTTTTAAATGGCCCAAGCTGTGGGAATGCGAGGGCCCCAACGAGTTGCTGGCCAAATAAAGGGCTGGTCGAAGCGCAAACCTTTCGGACGTTTCGCCGGCATAATCATAATGGTTTTTCCTCACCCACCCACACACCAACTGGACTTTTCCGCCCGTTGGAAAAGTCTGTCTGTTGCGATAAGGAGCGAGTGCTTTTGTAGTCGCACTTTTGACAAACTACTCCACTCGACACAACTCAACTCTTGACTGGCAAACAGGATGCGGGCCTCGTCCTGTGACGCAGTCACACTGTCACCGCCAGAAGTCGGTACTCTAAAACAATTTGCCATTAACATTAACGACAGCCATCGGTGGGTGTTCATTATATTGGCCCCGAAAAGGCAAACAGCCAGCTGGCCGGGCCAAACTGCCCTTATGATGACGTTACTCCTCTCCGATGGACGATGGGCGATGGACATGAATCTGTAATGGAATTCAATAAAAGCTGAGAGTGCAGAAACCGTTTGACACGGAATTCAATCGACTCCGGGCCTCTGGCCATGGAAACTGACCGAAATCGACGGGGGTTTTCCGGGGGCTTTTCGGGGCTCTGTGGGGGCAGGGTGGAGTTTTCCGGGGCGTGGGCATCGAAACTCATCAGCCGGACGCTTGTCGGGCTCATTTGTTAATTTTGTGCAATATCGGCGAGTGGCCTTCCCTTCTCTTCTTTTCTCCTCGGGTTTTCAGGTTCCTCGCATCTCTGAATCCTCAAATCCAGTCAAGACCAGCCCATCTCCTTTCGAACCGAGCGAAACATTTAACATGCGGCAATATTTATTGCCATGTGACACACGACAATGGGGTATATCGGCTGGAAGGTGGATGGAATGAGTTGGAGGTCCGGAAATGGAAGTTTATTAATTTACCAGTACACTTATTATTAAGAAAAAAACCACAAGGATAAGCACAATATTCACAGAGCCCTAAAGAAGCTAATTCTTACTCGTCAACTAAATTATACAAAAATTAAATCATATATATATTTTTTTTTTTAACATTTATTTTTTATAATTATCTATAGAGTTTATACTTAGTAGCTAAAATTCCTTAATTAAGATTAGGTCATTTATAAGTGGTTTTCTTAATAAAACTAAAAATGAGCAGAAACACCTTGAAACATTTTTTATGTTCAAAAAAATAGTTCTTAGTTAAAAATTAGTTTACAAATTGAATAAAAAAATAATATTGTTTTTTTTATGTCTTTATATTTTTAAATCTATAAAGACTCCCTTTTAAGAATGAGTAAATTTAAAGATACATTTTTGGCAATCAATACTTTATAGATTAGCCTCTTAAGCCTCTTAGGTTTTAATCGCTTAATTTACGGACTCCGTGGATTACGATTTGAGTGCAAACTCAACTGGCCTTTGGAGCATTGGCGAACGGGAATTAGCCCGCCATGGAAATTGCAGCAAATGAGAATTGGATTGCAATTGCACCGAGAACAGTTCGCGGATGTGGCGACATTGGGCGATTGCCCAATCGCTCGCCCTCCTCCTAATTAACCGCCCACTTTCAGGACACCCCATCATGCACTAGGCAATGCGATTATCGACCCAAGGCGGCCCATCCCATCCATTCCAGCCATCCATATGTGAGCCCAAAACCAAAACCCATCCTCATCCGCACTCGAAGCTCTGACGGATTGTCCAAGTTATTTGCCTGTTTGCCGACCATCGCCAATTGGCAATTGGAATCGGTGCACAGAGAAAATTATCAAAAGTTTTAGGTGCAAAACAAGGGGTGAAACATTTTAAAAAGTAAAACGTTTCATACAAATTTTATTTTACTTTGCATTTTTAAAATTTTTCATTTTTATTTTTAAAACGTTTTTATATGAAAACGGCACCTAAAACGTTGTATAATTTTCTCTGTGTGGGGGAATCCCGCCCAGTGGGATTAACCCGGGTGCGAATGTAGCGACGCCTGCGGCGGTTGACACATTCGGCGGACCAGGGGTTAGGCAGGGGTTAAGGAGGGGCCAATGGCCATCCAGGGGTTAATGAGAACGGGTGCAGGAAGTTTGAACGAAGTCATCACTTGTGCGGTTTGCCCCATTCGAAGCTCCAAAATGACTGTTCAAGTTGGCTGGTTGGTTGGGAATAGGATAAAACGTAGGGATCCGATATCTGCAAATGGAATGAAGAATCTATCTATTGATTTATTGGAAAATTGTATTTATTCTATTCAATAACTGTTAAACCTTTCCAAAATATAATAACATTTTATGCAACATTTTATAAAAACAATAGAACTTATAAAATCAAAAATAAAAATATATTATTTACATTGCGAATGTGATAATGGAATTGAAAAGAATGGACACTAGAACTTTCAACTTGTTATAAAACAGTTATAAAAATAAAAACAAAAATAAAAGGTTTAAAAGAATTTCAAATATATATCTTATTTATTTATACAAAATTTTTATATAAAGATATGATTTTGGATTTCAAATACTTAACTTACTTAAATTATAAACTGAAAAAACAATGAAAGCTTGTATATAAGATACTACAATTAAATTATAATATAAAATACACTTTAAATGTATTGTAGTCAAATACATCTGACTAGTTAACTTATTTAGCCGTTAGCTCATGTGGTAAGCAGACCATTTTTTTATCTATTTTTTTTTTAAATTAGTAGTATTTAAGTAAGTTTATCATATAAATATTGTGACTATTATGGATTGAGGGCATTTTCGCCGTCGTTTTGAGTGGCCTTAACGGAGAGACAGTGGCACTCCCATCTGCCCATCTGCCCGGCAGACTTTATTTTTAACGGTCAAGTTGTCTCGATGCGATCAACTTGCTTTTATTGCATTTGCCCGAGAAGAAAGCCATCCTCATGCTCAGCCACATCCACATACACATCCACTTTGACGTCCAGCCCGGATGTCGTTTCCAATAAACGGGCTTCGGGACAGGCGTTAAGCTGCGAGCTCTTTATACACTATGTATGTTATGTATTGTATGTGCACCATATGTGGGTAATGTGGGTGGTGGACAGTGGGCGGTGGGTGTCCTGGCACTTTAATTAATTTCTTTAAGTTCATTAACGTTTGACTTGTCGGGGGAACTGGGAACTGGGGACAGATACAAGCGGCAGACAGGGAATGGGCGGCGATATTGGAAAGGAACTCGGCACTTTGATGACATTGTTGGCCAGAGAGACTCGGTTTCCCCGGGAAACCCGAAGAGGAGGTTATCCTGTCCCGTCACTGGCGCTATGCGTTTATCACCCAGCCATTCATGGGATTCATGCTGTGCGTTCTGGCATTTCCGCCAACTGACAGTTTCAATATTGTCACTAATTGCGACGTCTTATAGCGAATTGATTTATTATTTTTACAGAAATTTCTTTATTACTTTTCTTGGATATTTTGAATTATTACATTTTTTAGATCTTAAGTGCTTTATTTTCATTGTAGCCTTTTTTTATATTGTTATACTAATTACAATTTTTTGTTGAGCTCTGCTGTAATTTTTTGCATAATTATTTAAAGAAATAAATGTATAATACATTTTTAAAAAATATTCAGCTGCCAATAAATGCCATTGAAATAAATTTTAATTAGAGCTTAATAATTATTTTAGTTTATTATACTGAAAATAAATTAATTATTAATTTATTTACAGATACATTCTCGATAAATGTATTTTTATTATTTTAAAACCAATCTATGTAAAGTCAATAGATAATTTCAACAAATGAGCTAAAAATATTTAATATGAAATATAAATATTAAGATGTATGTCTTATGAGTCCCTATATGAGTATCCTTGATCTTCCAAAAGCCTCCTTCTTGTCGTTCCCGTTCGCAGGACAATAATTGTGTTTGCCCTTCGCGCTCTCTGTTTAGTGCCATATGGGCATTAAAGATTGTCGGCTTGAAGGGGCAGCCCCGCCTGAATATTCAGCCGCACTCCATTGAGGTGACCCTGTTTGCGCGCAAAACCCTTTTGGCCGAGGTCCTTTGAGCCCGTGTCCTGTGTATCGCTGATGGCCTGCATCGCCATCTTGGTGGCGTTGGCATCCTTAAACCGTTCGCGTTCCAATTCATTTTTCAAAGCTAACCAAAAGCAACCCACCCACGGGTCCATTGGGCCGTGGATGTTTTTCCAACGTTCATTTTTTGGCAGCTCATGAATATTCATAGACATGAGCGGCCAAAGGACCGCGTGGACTATCTGACACAGTCAGCAGTTCGAAGGGGGTGGAGGTTCGGTCGAGGTGGAGGTGGCACATTACGCCGGGAGTATTTTGAAAACTGCTTGCCTTGAGGTGGTGAAAAGGGGGCCAGAGGCTCTCAACTGGCTTACATTTGCGGCACTACAAAAAACCCATTAAAGCAAAGAAAGTGCCCCCTGAAAACTGCTTAATGTACTTTAATATTTATATTGTGTTCGGATCGTACTTAGCGGGCTTAGTTTTTAGAGAACCATTAAGCCGTCCCTTCTGCCATTCATTTGCACTGTTGAAAATTCGGAAATCTATTGATAAAGACAAGAGGAAAATACCTCAATCGATTGGAGTATTTTATTCCGAAAACATCGCGGCTTGACGCTCAATATTCGGGGAATATAGGACACTCGAGTGAAAAGTGAAAGAAAGTGTGGTACCCAAAAAGTGTTCAACCAAAAAACAGATACCTTAACTGTTTTATAACTATCCCAGTAAGCGGGGAAAACGCCTTCTCAATCAGTTCACATAACACCTTCTCAATCAGTTCACAAAGTTATTCAAGCGTAGATCATTCCGGGACTTTTAGAGAACATAAAATTCAAGTTTCTCCAAATTACATACAATGGCGGGAAAGAAGCGTGAAAAGGCTCGTTTTTATTTTTAAAACGTTTTTGTATGAAAACGGCACTTAAAACGTTGTCTAATTTTCTCTGTGTATAATAAATGAAATCGTATTATAGACACAAGTACACGTAGATGAAACCTGTGATCGATACTAACAGCCCACCTCAAGAGGTCGAGAGTCATTCTAATGGGAAAAGCCCCCTTAAAACTAAACGGGAGAAACTACGTCAAAAGAAAGATATGTTTGCATACATTAATTTTCTGCGAATTATGAAAAAAAGAATCCCACTTTGGAGGCCGAGGATCTATTAAAGAAGTCAACTTTCTCAATCAGACGCAATCGATTGTACACCATTCTGGAACATTTAGAGAACAAAAATTTAAGGGTTAACAAAAAACATATAATCGAGGGTAAAAAGCGTGGAAAAGTACATTGCGAACCAGTCTACAAGTACCAGAAAGTAGCTCGCCTTACTCGGAATGGCTATCTTAACATTTTGAGGGACTACAAGAGGCTCTTCTGCGGGATTTTACCTCAAGATATGGTACGTTTTGGGGCTAGGCAATGGAATCAGCTGTCCCTCGATGAAATGAAACGCTTTAAAACTATGGTAACTATTAGAAATATAAAAGATTTGATATCATAATATTAATTATTAAACGGAACCTGTGACCATAAAAAGGGGCCATCTCAAAAGTTCGAGAGTCCGTCTAATAAGGAAAGCACTGGTGAATCTAAACGGGGGAAACTATGTCAAAAGCGCTTGGAGGGAAGGGAAAGGATCTCATCAAGATCGAAGAAGAGTCAGCTTAAGAAACGCGACTCAAATCCTTTGGGCTCTGCGATTGCCTACATTCATTTCATGCGCAAGTTTCAGAAAAAGAACCCTAATTTGGAGGCCAAGGATCTATTAAAGAAGGCAACCCATATGTGGTTCCGTCTACAAGGACATAAGCGCCAACAAATTGAAAGCCCTCTTTGGTAGAGTTTTCTAAATATAAAAGTGTTTACAGATAATAATTAGCAAACTATTTTAGGATCGTAAAAACAGGATAGGAAGAAACACTCAATTTCTAGCAATATTGAAATGTTTAAATTTTATGTGAAAAGTATTAGAGTAATAAGGATTTGTCAAATGTTCTGAAATAAAATTTGTAATTTGTAAAAAAAACAAGAAAGGAAGCTACCTTCGGCCAGACGAAGCTTATATACCCTTGTAGATAAATTAATACTTACTCGGTGCAGTTCCAGGAATTCCAATTTTGTTTTTTAGTAGTCAAGTATCAAAACGCCTACTTCCTACAAAGTTACAATGAATTTTCTTATATTTGTTTGAATTTTCCTATGGGAGCCTTAAGATATAGTGGTCCGATCCGGCTCGCTCCGACATATGTACTACCTGCAATAGAAAGAAGACTTTCGGGAAAGTTTCATCGCGATAGCTTTAAAACTGAGAGACTAGTTCGCATAGAAACGGACAGACGGACAGACGGACAGACGGACATGGCTAGATAGACTCGGCTATTGGTGCTGATCAAGAATATATATACTTTATGTGGTCGGAAACGTCTCCTTCACTGCGTTGCAAACATCTGACTGAAATTATACTACCCTCTACAAGGGTATAACAATAGAAATCATTAACTTTTTTAGAAACCCAATTCCATTTGCCTATAATATCTAGAGGCAATATAACTAATGAATCAATAGTTTATTGGGTTCGTGGTGTATATTGAGTGTATGTAAAGGTAATGGGCTGCATTGGCTGTTTCCTGGACTTTTAATTTTCAGCCTGACTTGGCAGTGGGTTCTCTCCCTGACTTTCCGTCTGACTTTGATTCTGATCCTTTTCGCTCTCCTTATTCTGCGCCTTGGTCATGGCAAACAACTTGGTCCAGTGCCTGGCGATCTTGTCGTGTTCCTTGCGGTTGGTCTTGTACTGATCGGCAATGCACATGACCAGCGGATCATCCGGATTGCACTCGCTCATCAGCACGTAAATGGACAGGAGAACCTGGACTTGGAAATAAATTAAATTAAATAAAAGAAATTTATAAAATATTAATAAAAATTTAATATATAAAATATTAATAAATATTCGAGAAGTTGTTTTCAGTCCATTTTTTTAAGGTCACAAGGCATACCTTATTGGCATGGGGCACACGTCGATTCTTCTTTGTCTCGCTGTTCGCACTATCTATAAACTACTAGAATTAATAGGGAGTAAGAACCCACCTTGGCCACATTCATCACTGGCGACCATCGCTCCCCGAGGACATCCAGGCAAATGGAGCCGCGACTGTCGACGTTGCAGTGATAGATCCGGGTGGTGAACCGGATGCGCGGCGGCCGGAAGGGGTAGCTGGCCGGAAAGCGGATGTCCAGCCGGAAGTGGCCGCCCTCGTAAACGGAGCCCGCCGGCCCGTTCACACCGGCCGTCCAGCGAAAGAGATCCTCGTGCTGCATTTCGGCACTGCAATTCGGCGGCGGATGTTTTCGAATATCCTGCAGTTCGCGCTTAATTCGCACCACACAACCGCTGAGTGGTTCGGTATTGGCTTTTCCCGTGCGACAGTGGCTGGTACTGGGTGCACTCTCCTCCTCCTCCTCGGAGCTGGCCACACTGGCGATCGCTGGCACTTCGGGCTCTACGTCTTCGTGTTCCGCTTCCGTTTCCGGTTGACGGCCGGTCTGCTCGTCGGACATTCTGTCAAATTTCTGGCCGCTGGCTTCCAACTTTGTGCTATTCAAATCTCAAGTTCCGTTGAGAACTCCACTTGCTATATGGCTTTGGGGTAATTTTGATTGTGCGGGGCTGGCTCACATGTTTTTCGAAGGCTCGTTGCTCGTTTCCAGCCAACGCGCAAGGCCCTACTAATTGTGATCGTTAGATCGATGAACTATATCCCAAGGGTTACTCAAAAGGGAGGTTTGTAATGATATGGAAAATTAAAAAAAAAAGTATAGCTTGTAAACTATACTAAGAATATTTAATTATTTTACTAATTCCGCTTGCAACTCTATATCTTTCAAGCCCTAACATTAAAATTTAATTTAATAATATTTTAAGTTAATTATGGTTATTTCTAGACTTTTTCACAGTTGTGCCAAGTATAGAAATTATCCAGACTTTGCCGTCCTCGGTGTATTAAGCATTCCTTATTCTTAAATCTAATTGGCTTCTTTTTAGGTACTTCTTTGGCATTTTTCGCGTTGTCTCTTTTGGAAAATTAGAAAAGTGTGAAAGCAGGATTGGATGATGTGGCCAGGATGAAAACGGAGGGAGAATAGATCTAAGGAAAGCGACACTCAATTTGCGAAATGCAATAAATTGAATGAAAAGTGTGAAAATGAAGAGGAGTCATCAGCATCAGCGACAACACTAACGACCAAACAGAGACAGAGACAGAAGAAGCAGGAGCGAGCGAGATGGATGGATGGAGATAGCAGATAGAGCAAGCGCTAAGAAAGCCAGAAAATGTAAATGAAAATTCAAGAAAATTTAATAATAAAAACATCAGCATAAAGTGAAACGCATAAAATCCAATGAAATGTAAAAGGCGCCCGCTGGACCTTCTTCCTGTTGTGTTCTTGTTCGCCGTCCCTTTCTACGCCTCATCACCCGTCTCTTTCTGTAGTCGAAGAGGGCAGTGGCGTAAAAGGGGGTGATTTTTGGATATAATCAGTTACTTGGGAGGTCTGAAAATAAATCATGAATGTAAGTGAGGTTTTGTAATATTCTGTATTTAGTAAACTTGATTGAATTACGTAGAAATGTGAGCTAAGCCAAGTTATTTTTCCAACAAGTGGTTGTTTTTTAAAAATACAATTTAAACTTAGTTTCAGAATTTATTGAAAAAATTAAATAAACCTAAAATAAATCGTAAAAACTAGGAGAGCCAAAAATCACTTTTTAGGTTTATGTAAAATCTTGATGAAATGTTTTTAGGCTCTAAGAAAATCCCCACAAGCGCGCAGAACCCTTGCCCCCACTTACCAAATTCAGCCTACGCCGCTGAACGGATGTATGTGGAAAATAGCGTCGGGTAATCACATTTCTCTGGTATAGTATGCCAGTATGGCAGTGTCCTGCAGCCGGCAGGATATGCTCAATTGAACATGTTGATTGCTGACAGCGCGTCCTGACCCACCGAATCCACCCAGCACACCACCCATCGCACCACCCACCGCACCACTGCAAATGAGGAGTCAATTGAAAATCAAGTTAGAGCTGGCTTTAATGGAATTAGTTCTACATGGCAGCGAGGCATCTGCGAGATGCAAACGCAAACTCGAGCTCAAAAGCGAAAGCACCCAAGGATGTATGCGAACCAGGCATTATAGTATAGCTCCGGAAGTTCCACTTACTTACCTCTCAGTATCTGTGTGAGATGGGTGGATGGGTGGCTTTGGAGTGGGTGGCTAAGAGCGAGCACCTAGGCAAACATTTAAATGGAGCTCGATTGGAGCGCCGGGGAGCGTTGAAAAGCGTGTAAATGAAATTAGAGAGCTGCCACACCCACAAGGCCAGCCAAGCCAACGCCCCGACACGATGACTCTAGTTTTAGCCAACAGCAACAAAATATGAGGAGATACCTAAACCCCTTTTAAAAAAAATCCTCAGTGATAAGCACCTTTTCAAGCTTAAACGGATTTAGCTCTTCAAATCGTAAGGTAGTTAGGTAGATAACCAATTAATAAATATAAATCATAATACCTGTGATCTGATATATTTTGATATGATATGATATGATATTTTCTAAAAACATTGTCTAAAAATAAGTTTTTTTGTAATATATGTATTTCTTAATTAACAATTAGCAAGTTCTTTAAAATAATAAATTTTAGTTTATAAAATTTGTATAGGAAAAGTTTTCATATTTAGAAAAAATTTTAAGAAAGTTCTTTAAGAAAGTATATTAATGTTTTTTGATCAACAAATCATTTAAAAAAAAATATATTTCGGTTGTATTAGAATATATGAACTATTATATAAAATGCTTTTAGACTTTCCAACATTTTAGGGTATTCTCGTATAATAAAATTTACATAGAAATTATACAAGTTTTATTCCAGCTTAAACATTAGTAAATTTTACAGACACTATTTAGAGATTAATCTCCGTTAGTCAGAACTTAAAACCCTGTTTAAAATATTTTTTTCTAAACCATTTGCCAGACTAAAAGTTTGGCCTAATGTACAATGCCTTCTTGAAGCTTTTTTCAGCTGAAATAACTAAAGCGATATCGTCGAGGACACGGCAGAAATGATTGAATGAGTGCCGGCTTGAATGGCTGGGCGAATTGGTGCATGAATCAATGAATGAGTGAATGAGTGAGTGCACGAAGGGCAATGCTATAAAGTGTAGCCACCGTTACTTTAGTGGGCGATGGTGGGTGGTCTGGGGTGGTGCTGGGGAAACTCTGGGTTTTCCCGACGCGACAGCTGATGGGTTATTGGACGCTTGTGGTCCCCGGCTCTCGGTTCTCGGTTCTGGGATCTCGTGTGTGCGATGGTTCGAGCTGGCTGCCTTGTGCTGTGTAACTGCCTTTGTAGCTTAATTGAATTTAAGTGCGACGCACAATATGCAATATTGCAAAATGAATCATCACATGTACACATGTATTCTCGCTGGCAATTTTCCACAGCTTTTCCTTTTTACTTTGCCCCCTTTTCCGCAGTTTCCCGCATTTCCCCTATGGTGAAGTGCATTTGACTTTGTTGCACGATTTGTCGCCGTACTTGAACGTTGGTAAACCATCCGCCACTTGCCAAAACGTCAGTGTCAAAAAAGGTTCGTACATAACTTGGCAAACTTTGTTAGACCGGCTGAAATAGTTTTATTAACTGCCAATGGAGCAGCAGGTTCTAACTGCCTTGCGAAGATATTGATGCGTATTTACATGGCTATTATTCCCAGCTAATTTATTAAAAGATTTTAATATCGGTATATCTTCTTTGAGAAATTTTATTTATTATTAACTCAAATCAAATTTATATTAAATTATTTATAGAGGTGTCTAACTCCAAAAATCAAACATATTCATTCGGTTCGACGAGATTAAATTTTTTCGCTTACTTTTAGGCACTTTTATAAAATATTTAACTTTAATATTTACAAATTTGTATAGGTATATAATGTAATAATTCTTTTTCATTTGATTTGTATTTAATCTTAAGCAATTACACGGATTTTTGTTTACTTTTCTATATGTTTAAAATTGAAGTTTATGTTTATTTTAGAAAAGCAACTTTAGCCGAAGGTTGTAATTTTCAATTTGAAATGTATTCTTTACACAACCAAGGTTGCACTTTAATTGCTTTGGGTGCCTAGTGAGTGCTCGCCGGACTCATGACTTCCAGTTTGAGTGTGGCTGAGTGAATGAATGCACTCATGTGGCACTCACTCGGCCCTGGAAAGTGTTGTGCTCAACTTAAGGGCATCGTTAAATGTCGCTTTAAAAAGTTTTGTCCCCATTCCGGGGTTTTTCCCGCCCCTCCCCTAGCCACGCCCAATTTTCCTTATTTTTTCCCAACATTTTCCTCTCCTCTTTCTCCCTCTTCTCCCATCTTGTCCTCCCCGTTTTCTCACCAACCAGTTACGGCACATAAACAAACAGTGCCAAACAAACAACTCCGATGTACGGTTCCACCTTTCTCCTTTCTCCCCCTTTCTCCGCAGGAATGGCAAATAAAAAGCACTGAGCGAAAATCGATGTGCATAAAAGAGTAGCCAACAAGTGAACAAAACAAAACAAGCCAACAAAAAACCAAAAAAAAGAAAAGTTTAAAAAACGCGGAGAAACAGGAAGGACGAAACTTGGACCGGTCCACATTAGAGCTGAACACTCCCCTTCCGTAAATAAAAAAGAAAAATGTCACACGGTTAAAAACAAGGACACTTTTGAGCTAAAACGACCATAAAATACCCATTCTCATTTTATTTTGAATTTACATTTTATTTAACTGCAGTATTTACCAAAGCCAGAAGAAATAATTGCATTATTTGAAAGGGAGCAAATGCTATTAAAATGTTGTTAACTTCGAATAAGTTTATCTAAATATATTTGCAACTTATTTTTATATAAATATATTTGAAAATAATATTCTAAGATTTTTCCTAGCTCGCTTGCTTGCAGATATTTGTTTTTCTAATATTTGTGTTTTGATTTAGCCTTTCTTTAGGTATAAAGATCGCCGATATTATTATAACATACTTTGTTTATCATATATTTTGACTATTAATTTTAATAATATTTTTATGTATTAAGGTTATTTACTCTATCACAAATATGCCTGTGACAGCTTTGCGGGGTATAAAAATACAGGAGAAGAGAAACAATTTGTAGGGCCGCGTTTTGGCGACCAACGCAAACACTTGGCACTTGGCACTTTTTGATGTTGTTAGTGGCCATGTCTGCTCTCCAGTCTGGTCCCGGGATCTGGATGGGAAGTGGGGGAACTGAAGGACTGCCTTTGGGTCTGGGGTGACCATTCCTGCAGGTGTCGCCGCGCAGACTTGCAAACTATGCACATGGCGGTAAATACTCCGCTCGCCACGTGGCCAAAACCGCGTTCCATCGCCGTTTCCGCTGGCCAACTGCTCAGCTCCTCAACTGCTCGTCCTGCCAACAACAAGAACAACAACAAGCCAACCAGGAGGAGCAACTCCTGCCGGGCGCTTAAATTTACTGCCCTCAGGCATTTCATTTGGTGTCGCGGCTAAATGGGGGAGGAGTGTCTGCCGTGTGACACAAAAAAAAAGAAATGCGGAAAATGGGGGAGAAATGGTAGCAGCAGCAGCTACAGATAGGCTAGCAATTTTGGCAGTGGCACTGGCTAAAAACTTAGGAAAATA